ATATCGAAAAAAAAGTGCGTTTCTTATGGATTAAAATGAGGTATACGAAGCTATCGTAACTTTAAAAATGACAAAGTTATTTGCGTGAATAGGGAAACTACAATATACTAAGAAATGCACTCTGTACCAAAATAGAAATCTGAATCAAAATTGTAATGATATGCAAATTTTATAAATTTATAGAACTTAAGATTTCTGAATATGTGATATATCAAAAGAAAGTGCGTTTCTTATGGGTTAAAATGAGGTATACGAAACTGTCGTAACTTTAAAAATGACAAAGTTATTTGCGTGAATAGGGAAACTACAATATACTAAGAAATGCACTCTGTACCAAAATTGTAATGATATGCAAATTTGATAAATTTTATGAACTTAAGATTTTTGTATAAATGATATATCAAAAGAAAGTGCGTTTCTTATGGATTAAAATGAGGTGAACGAAACTGTGATAGCTTGAAAACTGACAAAGTTATTTTCGTGAATAGGGAAAATACATTGTGCCAAGAAATGCACTCTGTACCAAAATTGTAATGATATGCAAATTTGGTAAATTTTATGAACTTAAGATTTTTAAATAAGTGATATATCAAAAGAAAGTGCATTACTTATGGATTAAAATGAAGTATACGAAACTGTCGTAGCTTGAAAACTGACAAGGTTATTTTCGTGAATATGGAAAATACATTGTGCCAAGAAATGCACTCTGTACCAAAATTGTAATGATATGCAAATTTGGTAAATTTTATGAACTTAAGATATTTGTATAAGTGATATATCAAAGGGAAGTGCGTTTCTTATGGATTAAAATGAGGTGAACGATACTGTGATAGCTTGAAAACTGACAAAGTTATTTTCGTGAATAGGGAAAATACATTGTGCCAAGAAATGCACTCTGTACCAAAATTGTAATGATATGCAAATTTTATAAATTTTATGAACTTAAAATTTTTGAATAAATGATATATCAAAAGAATGTGCGTTTCTTATGGATTAAAATGAGGTGAACGAAACTGTGATAGCTTGAAACTGACAAAGTTATTTGAGTGAATAGGGAAAATACATTGTGCCAAGAAATGCACTCTGTACCAAAATTGAAATGACATGCAAATTTGATAAATTTTATGAACTTAAGATTATTTTATAATTAATATATCAAAAGAAAGTGCGTTTCTTATGGATTAAAATGAAGTATATGAAACTGTCTTAGCTTGAAGACTGACAAAGTTATTTGCGTGAATAGGGAAAATAAATTTTGCCAAGAAATGTACTCTGTACCAAAATTGTAATGATATGCAAATTTGATAAATTTTATGAACTTAAGATTTTTGAATAAGTGATATATCAAAAGAAAGTGCGTTTAGTATGGATTAAAATAAAGTATACGAAACTGTCGCAGCTTGAAAACTGACAAAGTTATTTGCGTGAATAGGGAAAATACATTGTGCTAAGAAATGCACTCTGTACCAAAATTGTAATGATATGCAAATTTGGTAAATTTTATGAACTTAAGATATTTGTATAACTGATATATCAAAGGGAAGTGCGTTGCTTATGGATTAAAATGAGGTGAACGAAACTGTGATAGCTTGAAAACTGACAAAGTTATTTTCGTGAATAGCGAAAATACATTGTGCCAAGAAATGCACTCTGTACCAAAATTGTAATGATATGCAAATTTGATAAATTTTATGAACTTAAGATTATTTTATAATTAATATATCAAAAGAAAGTGCGTTTCTTATGGATTAAAATGAAGTATATGAAACTGTCGCAGCTTGAAGACTGACAAAGTTATTTGCGTGAATAGGGAAAATAAATTTTGCCAAGAAATGTACTCTGTACCAAAATTGTAATGATATGCAAATTTGATAAATTTTATGAAATTAAGATTTTCGAATAAGTGATATATCAAAAGAAAGTGCGTTTTTATGGATTAAAATAAAGTATACGAAACTGTCGCAGCTTGAAAACTGACAAAGTTATTTGCGTGAATAGGGAAAATACATTGTGCCAAGAAATGCACTCTGTACCAAAATTGTAATGATATGCAAATTTGGTAAATTTTATGAACTTAAGATTTTTAAATAAGTGATATATCAAAAGAAAGTGCATTACTTATGGATTAAAATGAGGTATACGACACTGTCGTAGCTTGAAAACTGACAAAGTTATTTTCGTGAATAGGGAAAATACATTGTGCCAAGAAATGCACTCTGTACCAAAATTGTAATCATATGCAAATTTGGTAAATTTTATGAACTTAAGATATTTGTATAAGTGATATATCAAAGGGAAAAGCGTTGCTTATGGATTAAAATGAGGTGAACGAAACTGTGATAGCTTGAAAACTGACAAAGTTATTTTCGTGAATAGCGAAAATACATTGTGCCAAGAAATGCACTCTGTACCAAAATTGTAATGATATGCAAATTTGATAAATTTTATGAACTTAAGATTATTTTATAATTAATATATCAAAAGAAAGTGCGTTTCTTATGGATTAAAATGAAGTATATGAAACTGTCGCAGCTTGAAGACTGACAAAGTTATTTGCGTGAATAGGGAAAATAGGGAAAATAAATTTTGCCAAGAAATGCACTCTGTACCAAAATTGTAATGATATTCAAATTTGATAAATTTTATGAACTTAAGATTTTTGAATAAGTGATATATCAAAAGAAAGTGCGTGTCTTATGGATTAAAATGAGGTATACGATGCTGTCGTAGCTTGAAAACTGACAAAGTTGTTTGTGTGAATAGGGAAAATACAATATACTAAGAAATGCACTCTGTACCAAAATTTGATAAATTTTATGAACTTAAGATTTTTGTATAAGTGATATATCGAAAGAAAGTGCGTTTCTTATGGATTAAAATGAGGTATACGAAGCTATCGTAACTTTAAAAATGACAAAGTTATTTGCGTGAATAGGGAAACTACAATATACTAAGAAATGCACTCTGTGCCAAAATAGAAATGTACTCTGAATCAAAATTGTAATGATATGCAAATTTTATAAATTTTATGAACTTAAGATTTCTGAATAAGTGATATATCAAAAGAAAGTGCGTTTCTTATGGATTAAAATGAGGTATACGAAACTGTCGTAACTTTAAAAATGACAAAGTTATTTGCGTGAATAGTGAAACTACAATATACTAAGAAATGCACTTTGTACCAAAATTGTAATGATATGCAAATTTGATAAATTTTATGAACTTAAGATTTCTAAATAAGTGATATATCAAAAGAAAGTGCATTTCTTATGGATTAATATGAGGTATACGAAACTGTCGTAACTTTAAAAATGACAAAGTTATTTGCGTGAATAGTGAAACTACAATTTACTAAGAAATGCACTCTGTACCAAAATTGTAATGATATGCAAATTTGATAAATTTTATGAACTTAAAATTTTTGTATAAATGATATATTAAAAGAAAGTGCGTTTCTTATGGATTAAAATGAGGTGTACGAAACTGTGATAGCTTGAAAACTGACAAAGTTATTTTCCTGAATAGGGAAAATACATTGTGCCAAGAAATGCACTCTGTACCAAAATTGTAATGATATGCAAATTTGATAAATTTTATGAACTTAAGATTATTTTATAATTAATATATCAAAAGAAAGTGCGTTTCTTATGGATAAAAATGAAGTATATGAAACTGTCGCAGCTTGAAGACTGACAAAGTTATTTGCGTGAATAGGGAAAATAAATTTTGCCAAGAAATGTACTCTGTACCAAAATTGTAATGATATGCAAATTTGATAAATTTTATGAACTTAAGATTTTTGAATAAGTGATATATCAAAAGAAAGTGCGTTTTTTATGGATTAAAATAAAGTATACGAAACTGTCGCAGCTTGAAAACTGACAAAGTTATTTGCGTGAATAGGGAAAATACATTGTGCCAAGAAATGCACTCTGTACCAAAATTGTAAAGATATGCAAATTTGATAAATTTTATGAACTTAAGATTTTTGAATAGGTGATATATGAAAAGAAAGTGCGTTTCTTATGGATTAAAATGAGGTATACGAAACTGTCGGAGCTTGCAATCTGTCAAAGTTATTTGCGTGAATAGGGAAAATACATTGTGGCAAGAAACGCACTCTGTACCAAAATTAAAAATATATGCAAATTTGATAAATTTTATGAACTTATGATTTTTGAATAATTGATATATCAAAAGAAAGGGCGTTTCTTATGGATTAAAATGTGGTATATGACATTGTCGTAGCTAAAAAACTGACAAAGTTATTTGCATGAATAAGGAAAATACAATATACTAAGAAATGTACTCTGTACCAAAATTGTAATGATATGCAAATTTTATAAATTTTATGAACTTAAGATTTTTGAATAAGTGATATATCAAAAGAAAGTGCATTTCTTATGGATTAAAATGAGGTATACGAAACTGAAAACTGACAAAGTTATTTGCGTGAATAGGGAAAATACATTGTGCCAAGAAATGTACTCTGTACCAAAATTGTAACGATATGCAAATTTTATAAATTTTATGAACTTAGGATTTTTGAATAAGTGATATATCAAAATAAAGTGCGTTTCTTATGGATTAAAATGAGGTATACGAAACTGTCGTAGCTGGAAAACTGACAAAGTTATTTTCGTGAATAGGGAAAATATATTGTGCCAAGAAATGCACTCTGTACAAAAATTGTAATGATATTTTAGTGGTTAGTGAGTTAGGCAAAATAAATAAAACTCAAACACTAAATTTTATACTTTATATAAAAAATAATTTATTTAAAAACAATAAAAGAAAAGAATTTTTTACGAACACTCAAGTTTAAAATTATCAAGAAGAATGAAAAATTATTTTTCAAAAACAGAAAACTTATTAATATAAAATGCAAAGATATTTTGATTAAAAATATTTCAAGAAACAAAGTGTTATTTTCAAAAAGTATTTTTAAATGTTAAAATATTATAACGCCACAGTACCCCCGCCCTAGTGACAACGACAATTTAAGGTAAAGCAAAGTTAACTCGACGACCAGAACGAAGTTTGATTCCATCATTATTTTTCTGGGGAATTTGTTTGGGTTCTATATTTGGTTCTTCTCTTGTGTATTCTGTAAATATAAATGCTGGTTTAAGGCGGTCGATAGATACAACTTTCTCCTTTCCAGATACCAGCAATTTAAATATTTTGTCGTTACGACTTAACACCTTAAAGGGACCATCATATGGACGTTGTAAAGGTTTTCTGACAGCATCATGTCTAATAAAAACGTGAGTGCAGTTTTTTAAAGTGCTAGGTATGAAGCTGCTGTTTGCACCGTGATGTGCTGTAGGGCTGGCTTTAAGCATTTGCATGTTTTCACAAAATTGTTTTACCCAATCATTGTTTGTTCTTGATTCTTCATAAGATTCAAAAAAATCACCAGGGAGACGTAGATTTGTTCCATATAACATTTCTGATGGTGAATATCCAATGTCTTGAATCACTGATGATCGTAAACCCATTAGGACTAACGGTAAATTATCAACCCAATTATGATTTTTGTAGCATTTTAAAGCTGCTTTCAAAGAACGATGACATCGCGATGTCATCTTTCAATAAGGCCGTTTGCTTGAGGATGATAGGGCGTCGTATGGAATGTTTTAATTTCAAGAATCTTGCAAAATTCACGAAACAACGAACTTTCAAATTGGCTCCCTTGGTCAGTAGTGACTTGTACAGGCACTCCATATCGGGATATCCAACCATGTAGAAAAGCAGTAGCAACCGATTCAGCAGTTATATCTTCCAGTGGTATAGCTTCCGTCCACCTGGTAAATCTGTCAATACAAGTCAAAACATACCTGTAATTTTTACAAAGCGTTAGAGGTCCAACGATGTCAATGTTGATATTCTTGAGACGTTGGCTAGGTAACTCAAAATTACCAAGTGGGCTTTTTACATGGCGCTGAACTTTTGATGATTGACAGGCAATACAACATTTAGACCAATTACGTACATCTTTAGAAATTGACGGCCACACATAACGACTTTTGACAAGTTCCACTGATTTATTTATTCCTGGGTGTGAAAGATTATGTAAATAATCAAAAAGTGGCTTGCGATAACTTGGAGTTATATAAGGTCGAATATTTGTTGTTGACACATCGCAGTAAATTTGTACATCAGCATCAGGTAATTTCATTTGTTTCAAAGATAAACCTTGTGGTGAATTTAGTATTGCTTGCAATTCTTCATCAGATTGCTGCTCTTTTGCTAATAATTCAAAGTTTATAGGTGATGGCATTGTCACAACATTTAGGCGCGATAGTGCATCGGCAACTACATTATCCTTTCCAGGTATATATCGAATGTCGACTGTGTGTTGGCCAATGAAGTCCAAATGCCTTAGTTGTCGTGGAGAAGCTTTTTCTGGCTTTTGCTTGAATGCAAAGGTCAGAGGTTTATGATCGGTGTATATTATAAATTCTCGTCCTTCCAAAAAATATTGAAAATGTTTTAAGGCGGAATATGCTGCCAAAATCTCTCGATCATATGCGCAATACTTAGTTTGTGTTTGGTTCAAACTTTTTGAATAAAATGCGATTGGTTTCCACTCACCATTAACTTGTTGTTGAAGTACACCTCCCATACCAGTATCTGAAGCGTCTACCCAAAGTGAAGTAGGAGCATTCATCGATGAATATGACAGCAGAGTAGCATCAGCGAGTTGTTGTTTACATTGTTGAAATGCATTCATGAGTTCTGGAGTCCAATTGATTTTTCGATTGTCGTTTTTCTTACAACCTGAATGTAATTCATGAAGAATAGCTTGTTGTTGTGCAGCTTTAGGTATGAAACGTCGATAAAAGTTGATCATACCCAAAAAACGTCTCATCTCTTTAACGGTGTTTGGCTGTTTATAGTTGACAATGGCTTCTACACGTTCCGGTAGTGGTTTTAAACCGTTAGGTGTTACCAGATAACCTAGAAACTTGAGTTCCGAAGCACCAAAAACTGATTTAGATGCGTTGATTGTGATACCATATTCACGAAGTCTATCTTTTCTTACAACCTGAATGTAATTCATGAAGAATAGCTTGTTGTTGTGCAGCTTTAGGTATGAAACGTCGATAAAAGTTGATCATACCCAAAAAACGTCTCATCTCTTTAACGGTGTTTGGCTGTTTATAGTTGACAATGGCTTCTACACGTTCCGGTAGTGGTTTTAAACCGTTAGGTGTTACCAGATAACCTAGAAACTTGAGTTCCGAAGCACCAAAAACTGATTTAGATGCGTTGATTGTGATACCATATTCACGAAGTCTATCAAACAATATCTTGACATGCTGCTTATGTTCTTCCAGGTTTTTCGACGCAATTAGTATATCGTCGATATAGGCGTAACAAAAATCCAAGCCTCTGACAACTTCATTGATGAACCGTTGAAAAGTTTGTGCAGCATTGCACAAACCAAACGTCATGCAGGGGAATTCGAAAAGACCTATAGGCGTGATTATAGCGGTCTTCTCAATGTCGTCTTTTTCAACAGGTATTTGGTGGTATGCTTTTACCAAGTCTACCTTGCTGAATATAACCTTACCACTTAGCATGTATCCAAAGTCATGGATGTGGGGCACTGGATAGCGATCGGGAACAGTAACAGCATTTAGACGGCGATAGTCGCCGCATGGACGCCACTCTCCATTTGATTTTAAAACAAGATGTAGTGGACTTGCCCAACTACTTTTTGAAGGCCGGCATATACCTTGTTTGACCATATCTTCAAACTCTCTTTTCACAATTTCAAGTTTTTCAGGTGATAACCTGCGCGCTTTAGCAAACACAGGAGGTCCTTTTGTTTGGATATGGTGTGTAACAGAATGTCTGACGTCTTTTGTGAATGATGACAGTTCTGTCAAATCAGGAAATTCACGAAGCAATTTGGAAAAATATGACTCATCTTGGATAGTTTTAATTGTCAAAGGGGTAGTTTCATAATACAATGATCCTTCATTTTGAGACTGGGAAACATTATCAATCAGACGATTGTTTTTTATGTCCACCAATAATCCAAAATGGCTTAGAAAATCGGCACCAATTATCGGCTTTTCAACGTCAGCCAAAATAAAAGTCCACCGAAAATTTCGCTTTAAGCCCAAATTTAAATTTAGTGATTTATTTCCATATGTTTTGATAACTGATTTATTTGCAGCAAATAATTTTAATGGGGCAGGATTTTGTTGAAGTTGAGAAGATGTGACAGGATATACAGAAACGTCGGCGCCAGTATCGACAAGGAATTTTTTATTTAGTATTCGATCTTGAAGAAAAAGGCGACAAAGTTCTCGGCTAGCCTCGTCTGTCACCGTGGACGAGGAGCCTAGTAGTTTTCCGTCGAATTGGAATGTGAGCTGGAGAAAGTGCATGGCTGGACGCACTTAGTAGCTTTTTCGCCAAATTTGAAATGGTACCAGCAGTAGGGTTTGACTTTCTTACCTGCGGATGCTTCTCTAGTGCGTGGCTGTTGATTACAGCGAACTCGGCTCTTTGAACGACCTCTACCTCTAGATAAAGCTTTAACTTGTTTAGTAAGTGCATCAATTTTCTTCTCTATGGTACTATTAGACAATGTTGATGAACCAGCTATGGCATTTACCTCCCAAGATTCAGATGTGTCGGCGATTTTATCTGCCATAAGCGCCAATCTATTTAAAGATTCGCTACTTACGGACAGAATTGCTTGCATTTGCTTTGGCAAACGTTGCATCCACAAATTCTTCAGAAGTTCTTCTGATACTTTTCCAGAAGATAATGTAGACATCTCGCGTAGAAGTGTTGAGGGTTTTTTATCTCCCAACTCTATGTCGCGTAACAATTTCTTCAACTGCTTTTCTTCAGAATCAGTGAAACGTTCTTGTAGCCGTTGTTTAAGTGTTTCATACATATTCGTCTCCGGGAGTTGCAGAATGATGTCGCTTACCTCACACAGAACATTAGCTTCAATGGATCCGACAATAGTATGGAATATTGTAGAATCCGAGGTGATTCCAGCGGTGATAAATTGGCTTTCCACTTGCTTAAACCATAAGGCCGGATTAGTCTTCCAAAATGGCGGCACCTTGACGGAAACACGAGCTATTTCATTCGCTGGTGGAAGCGAGGCAAATTCTTCCTCTGAGCTGTTCACAGACATGTTTGCGGCTCTTGCGTTTGTGTTCTTGTGTTCGGGGTCACCAATTTTAGTGGTTAATGAGTTAGGCAAAATAAATAAAACTCAAACACTAAATTTTATACTTTATATAAAAAATAATTTATTTAAAAACAATAAAAGAAAATAATTTTTTACGAACACTCAAGTTTAAAATTATCAAGAAGAATGAAAAATTATTTTTCAAAAACAGAAAACTTATTAATATAAAATGCAAAGATATTTTGATTAAAAATATTTCAAGAAACAAAGTGTTATTTTCAAAAAGTATTTTTAAATGTTAAAATATTATAACGCCACAATATGCAAATTTGATAAATTTTATGAACTTAAGATTTTTGAATAAGTGATATATCAGAAGAAAGTGCGTTTCTTATGGATTAAAATGAGGTATACGAAACTGTCGCAGCTTGAAAACTGGCAAAGTTATTTGCGTGAATAGGGAAAATACAGTATACTAAGAAATGTACTCTGTTTTAACTTTGTCGTAGCTTAAAATGAGGTATACTAAACTTTCGTAGCTTGAAAACTGTCAAAGTTATTTGCGTGAATAGGGAAAATACATAGTGCCAAGAAATGCTCTCTGTACCAAAATTGTAAAGATATGCAAATTTGATAAATTTTATGAACTTAGGATTTTTGAATAAGTGATATATCAAAAGAAAGTGCGTTTCTTATGGATTAAAATGAGGTATACGAAACTTTTGTAGCTTGAAAACTGACAAAGTTATTTGCGTGAATAGGGAAAATACATTGTGCCAAGAAATGTACTCTGTACCAAAATTGTTGTGATATGTAAATTTTATAAATTTTATGAACTTAAGATTTTTGAATAAGTGATATATCAAAAGAAAGTGCGTATCTAATCGATTAAAATGAGGTATACGAAACTGTCGTAGCTTGAAAACTGACAAAGTTATTTGCGTGAATAAGGAAAATACATTGTGCCAAGAAAGGTATTCTGTGCCAAAATTGTAATGATATGGAAATTTTAGAAATTTTATGAACTTAAGATTATTGTATAATTAATATATAAAAAAAAGTGCATTTCTTATGGATTAAAATGGGGTATACGAAACTGTCGTAGCTTGAAATCTGACAAAGTTATTTGCGTGAATAGGGAAAATACAAAATACTAAGAAACGTACTCCGCCAAAATTGTAATGATATGCAAATTTGAAAATTTTATGAACTTAAGATTATTTTATAATTAATATATCCAAAGAAAGTGCGTTTCTTATGGATTAAAATGAAGTATATGAAACTGTCGCAGCTTGAAAACTGCAAAGTTATTTGCGTGAATAGGGAAAATACATTTTGCAAATAAATGTACTCTGTGCCAAAATTGTATTGATATGCAAATTTGATAAATTTTAGGAACTTAAGATTTTTGAATAAGTG